GTCAACGTCATCAGCATTGAATCTACTTGATTGAGATACGATGACGTGTGTCAACCAAGTCAGCGAGCCTGAAAACCTGATACCGTCAGTCACCTCTTACGACAATCATGGGTTACTAAAGACCAAGACTAACCCAGATCTTCACGGGTCCACTTGGTTGTGAGTAACATTGTAGAGCAGTGCCTATACTTCTCTATCTCTCACGGAGACATGGGTCGCCCATGGTCTAGAATGTCGTAATTTGCTATGCTTGGTTGTGTCCCTTGGCTATGCCAGGAGCCGGTGATTCTCGGGTCCAAACCCAAGATCGCCCTGGTGATGGTACTATGTATATCAACACCAACTTGTGCTCTTTGGTTTCATCAAAATAGTAAACAATATAAGACAAACAATAGAAGGCGGTGTTAAACCTCACTCACTCACTCGCCCGCCCACTATTTTCCACTTTGGTTTTGATATTTCCCTCATTCAACCAACCCAGTGTCTTAAGAATAACTTCGGGGTTGAAGAATCCTAGTCTGAAAACGAAGTTTAATGTTTTTATTAACATCAAACAATTGAATGTAGTGTCTGTTTTATTATTTAACTTATGAAGTTCTATCTGCAATGAAAATGAGTGAAAATACGGTGTGGTCAAACCCACTACCTTTCATTTAGGTTTAATGCATGTAATCTTTCTTTTACATGTAAGTATACTGGACTCATAGAAAGTACAGTTATTTATCGTAATCAATTATAACAATTTCAATACAAACTTGCGCAAGTCTATCTCTTACCTTTCATCTATTGAATGCCACGGCACTCTATTACATGTTATGTGTTACTACACATCCAAACCCACCCATGTTCACACTGTTAAAGGATATATTGATAACAGTATGGAGGATGCATTGGCATTGTGTGTGCTATACTCACACAACACTATTGTCCATGGATCCATCTTCTGAAATGAGGTCATGCTTTGTCCTTTTATATACTGTTGTTGATCGATTCCGCAAATTGAGTCCATTAGCACGTTCATGTTTTACGTGTGTGTGGATATCAGCGTCCATTTTGTTCTAAGCTGAATAGTTATATATAGAGACATTCATTTAACTGACAGTGCCGTGTTGTATCGCCTATTTCTGGACGGTCAGGACATGTATTGGGCATTATAAACATGTTGTGGAGTTGGTGGCTTTGTTGATGAAGTATTGGCTACGACTGGGATCAGTTTTCTATTCTCCTCTTTGTACAATGTGTAAAGGCAAGAGTGAGTGCGTGAGTTTAATTTTACGCCGCACTCAGCAATATTCCAACCATATAACGCTGGTCTGTAAATAATCACGTCTGGACCAGACAATCCAGTGATTAACAGCATGAACATCGATATACACAATTGGGGTACGATGACATGTGTCAACCAAGTCAGACAGCCTGACCCACCCGATCCCGTTAGTCGCCTCTTATGACAATTATGGGTTACTGAAGATCAATTCTAACCCGGATCTTCACGACAAGAACGTACATACACACAGACGTGTTTGGTGCGGCCAATATCTGGAGTTCAGTCGTCATGCGGCATGAACATTGAAAAATCAATCGGAAATTCCTACTCCCCTATTTGGACCAGGTTCGATTCTTGTTCTGTAAGTGAAGACGAAGATGTATCTACATGTCTAGGAACGACGTAATACGATAAGAACATTTCCAACATCTGCACAAATTATTACTATCTAACTCGTTTAGAATTGAGATATTATCTATTTAGCGCACTGCATTTTCACATTTTATAGACTGCAGTTCATCTGTGCATGCAGGTACTGACAGCCCATTACAACCTTGTATATGGCATGTAATGAAAACCACTTCGTTATTGCAATTGGCACTTTCCTGATAAACTTAAATAAAAGATGTTGTTTTCAATACAGACAAACTGAGAACATATGTTGAATATACGGCTGCAAATTAATTATTTCATTATATTACACACTTAATATCTGCAATGTTGTGTATAGTTTTCTTAGTTCACATTGTGTAACACTGAACGTCAGAGTTTTCATACATCTGTGCTTATCCTGTTAGACGTATAAACTTGCATTAAGTAACTATATAATGATGTTCACAGATATCTGCTGGCAACCAGATCAGTTGCAGTGGTTAATTCAGAGACCTGCGTCGAACACCTGATAAATCCCAATCTGTACCTTGACACAGCAGGGTCATAATTATCATAAATATGTAATATGTAATATTTATGTACTGATCCTTCGTCAACGATGGAGCAACATGTAACTACATAGCCAGAGCAATCCTCCATTTTCCAGACAGACAGAGACTTAATTCCAGACAGTTCATTTAGGCCTTAGGCCCATAATACATATATTTTGCAAAAGTAGATAACGCATTATCTATCCATTTTCCCAATATATCCAATGTAAACTTAGTGCTGATTGCAATCTTGAGTGCATCAGATGAATGTATTTTCGACACATTGCTGTTCAAATGGTGAAACAGAATGTGCAAACATTAGTGCAATGACATTCATTTGTTGACATTTGTTACTAAAATGGAATATAAAATGTCTTCGTGTTGATTTTTTGCAAAACGTGACTTCAGATTGATAAACAGCCAGCCAGTCAGGTATGACAGGTTGCTTTCATATTTAATAGGATTCGAGTTGTACATTCCGAAAATTCCATGATTGTGTGTACATGTTAAAGAATCAATTTCCAGTTCTATGTTCGTCAGATAAATAGCAGTGTCATGTTAAAACATTACGACTAAACCTTTGGAGACTATACGCCCAAGAAATCCACACTCTTAATTTGTCTACGTTTTGGCCTCCTCGTCAGATGAAAAGCAGTGCCATGTTAGAAGATTAAGACTATGCCTTGGGAGATACCCAAGAAATCCACACTCACTATCTACGGGTTGGCCTCCTCGTCAGATGAAAAGCAGTGTCATGATAAAAGATTAAGACTATGCCTTTGGAGATACCCAAGAAATCCACACTCTCTGTCTACGTTTTGCCCTCCTCGTCAGATGAAAAGCAGTGTCATGTTAGAAGATTAAGACTATGCCTTTGGAGATACCCAAGAAATCCACACTCTCTATCTACGGGTTGGCCTCCTCGTCAGATGAAAAGCAGTGTCATGTTAGAAGATTCAGACTATGCCTTTGGAGATACCCAAGAAATCCACACTCTCTATCTACGGGTTGGCCTCCTCGTCAGATGAAAAGCAGTGTCATGTTAGAAGATTAAGACTATGCCTTTGGGAGATACCCAAGAAATCCACACTCTCTATCTACGGGTTGGCCTCCTCGTCAGATGAAAAGCAGTGTCATGTTAGAAGATTAAGACTATGCCTTTGGAGATACCCAAGAAATCCACACCCTCTATCTACGGGTTGGCCTCCTCGTCAGATGAAAAGCAGTGTCATGTTAGAAGATTAAGACTATGCCTTTGGAGATACCCAAGAAATCCACACCCTCTATCTACGGGTTGGCCTCCTCGTCAGATGAAAAGCAGTGTCATGTTAGAAGATTAAGACTATGCCTTTGAAGATACCCAAGAAATCCACACTCTCTATCTACGGGTTGGCCTCCTCGTCAGATGAAAAGCAGTGTCATGTTAGAAGATTAAGACTATGCCTTTGGAGATACCCAAGAAATCCACACTCTCTATCTACGGGTTGGCCTCCTCGTCAGATGAAAAGCAGTGTCATGATAAAAGATTAAGACTATGCCTTTGGAGATACCCAAGAAATCCACACTCTCTATCTACGTTTTGCCCTCCTCGTCAGATGAAAAGCAGTGTCATGTTAGAAGATTAAGACTATGCCTTTGGAGATACCCAAGAAATCCACACTCTCTATCTACGGGTTGGCCTCCTCGTCAGATGAAAAGCAGTGTCATGTTAGAAGATTAAGACTATGCCTTTGGAGATACCCAAGAAATCCACACCCTCTATCTACGGGTTGGCCTCCTCGTCAGATGAAAAGCAGTGTCATGTTAGAAGATTAAGACTATGCCTTTGGAGATACCCAAGAAATCCACACCCTCTATCTACGGGTTGGCCTCCTCGTCAGATGAAAAGCAGTGTCATGTTAGAAGATTAAGACTATGCTTTTGGAGATACCCAAGAAATCCACACCCTCCATCTACGGGTTGCCCTCCTCGTCAGATGAAAAGCAGTGTCATGTTAAAAGATTAAGACTATGCCTTTGGAGATACCCAAGAAATCCACACCCTCTATCTACGGGTTGGCCTCCTCGTCAGATGAAAAGCAGTGTCATGTTAGAAGATTAAGACTATGCCTTGGGAGATACCCAAGAAATCCACACCCTCTATCTACGGGTTGGCCTCCTCGTCAGATGAAAAGCAGTGTCATGTTAGAAGATTAAGACTATGCCTTTGGAGATACCCAAGAAATCCACACCCTCTATCTACGGGTTGGCCTCCTCGTCAGATGAAAAGCAGTGTCATGTTAGAAGATTAAGACTATGACTTTGGAGATACCCAAGAAATCCACACCCTCTATCTACGGGTTGGCCTCCTCGTCAGATGAAAAGCAGTGTCATGTTAGAAGATTAAGACTATGCCTTTGGAGATACCCAAGAAATCCACACCCTCTATCTGCGTTTTGGCCTCCTCGTCAGATGAAAAGCAGTGTCATGTTAAAAGATTAAGACTATGCCTTTGAAGATACCCAAGAAACCGCACTCTCTATTTAAACACCATCACCATAACATCCATTACCAACATACCGTCGGCTTTAATGATGATAATAAATCAGTTCTCATTTCAATTTGGAGCGGATGTAATGCTGGTTTTAGAAATGGTTTCTTGCTATCAGCAAAGACTGTTTCAGACTTGGTAGCCACAGTAGAAAACTACACGCCTATGTATATTGTTCACTGCAGACAAGTAGGAATAGAATGATGTTTATGAGGGGTTGTGCATGCTATCTGCGATCAGGCACATGCTGAGTGCATACACAGACTGTTTTATGTTCCCAGCAATCGACGAACCGGAAACGACAGTATCTGTGCTTCTTGATGAAGAGGAGTCGGTGCTTGAGTTTGTTGACAACGCCTTGGTAAGTGAATTTTCATTATTATGTCCTCACTAACCCGACAACAAACAAGGGAAACTCGATCACATACAAGAATTACAAACACTCAACCATCACAGAATGAAAACACTTCGTAGGTGTTCAGTATGATCGATAATTGTTATCATCATAAAATCTAAGAATCATCTTCTGTTATATTCATTTCTGGATGGAAACTTAGAAGCGTTATCTCAAAAAATGTGTTGCTTGCATGTTCTTCATACATTTCGTACGTGTTACTCTGTATATGTGATATCTCTATATATTCCTTCTTGTTGCAATCCGTGAAGATCCGGGTTAGAATTGATCTTCGGTAACCCATGATTGCCGTAAGAGGCGACTATTGGGATCAGGTGGTCAGGCTCGCCGACTTGGTTGACACATGTCATCGTATCCCAATTGATGAGGTCGATGCTCATGATGTTGATCACTGGATTGTCTGGTCGATATTCGATCGATTATTTACAGACCGCCACCATATAGCTGGAATATTGCTGAGTGCGGTGTAAAACTAAACTCACTCACTCACTCAACCGCTGCATCCAGCAATATTGCAGCTATAGAACCGTGAGCTGTAAATAAGAGACTGGACCTGACAATACAGTAATGCATGCAAGTCAAGTATTCACCTGAACGAGGACGCTGCACAGATACTTTCTCGAACACCAGGAAGGACATTATTTTGTCGTGAAGAAGCACAGACAACAAGTCACACACTATCAACTCACTGGTTTCTGAAGAAGCATGTCCGTTGTAACTGTTGCACTGGATGACCTTGCGCCTTGTGTCATTTCTATGTTAAGAAGCTTATGCTGAAGATAGTATTTAAATACATATCACGACACCTGTTAGTATGGTTACAGCATCAGCACCATTAGCTGTCTCTGCATGACGTGCACACGGACATGTTGAATATTTATATATTAAACTTCAATGCCAGTACCAGTCTCAATTATCCCACAAAACAGATTTCATCGACGTAAGAGGAAATTAAACGAAGACATATAAAAATAATATATGAATTAATAATACGTCAAATCAAGTAAATTATGAGACACCAGTGACCTTTTAATATACAACGATAATGCCAGAGAACAACCGGTCTCAATTATCCCACAAAACAGACGCCACAGCAGGAAAGGTTGCGGGGAAAATAAGACATTTCCTGAGTGAAATTAAGGAAATTATAAGAAAGGAATGGTAATGAGTTATTTGTATCCAACATACTGTAGATGTTTACAGTTTGTTTTTGTTGTGACTACCTTGGTTACATCGCCTATTGATTTGTTCATATATAGATCGAGGGCGATATCAAGAACTATAGTGATGAAAGCCATTAGATGACTACGTGCACGTCCTTCAAAACAAGGAGTATACTGTGGCATTTCCTTCTAACGAAACGCTCGGCTTCCTCTGTGAGAAGCAACAAAGCCTACTTCTATTATACGGATGTAATTATCTTTATAGAATGAGTCCAGACGATTCGGATATGAGGCAAACACGTACATGCTGTACGAAATGTTTGTACAAGTGTTGGCACAGGCCTTTCGCCTCGGACTTATCCTAGACTATAGGTCTTGTTATTGCAAGACTACATAGAAACGTGTAGGCGCTGTATGTAGGAAGTTTTGAAGGGTGTGATAAGACTCGTGATGTTTAAGAAAAGAAATTATTTAATGTTATTTTGTTATCTAATGTGATGAAGGGTTAATAACGCTTCCACATAATTATCCTGTCATCTCCATTGTCAGAAGTTGGGGTTGCGTGAACGGTCCTCGCTTCGATATGAATGCATCCGAGAAATCCTAACATGCTTAGATCTTTATGAATATGAATCATGGTCATCAAACGCTGGCATTAGAGGATGCTGTTATGAGTAACCTAGGCTTGTGTACTGGTGCATGCTTAGATGTAATTTCGGTGATATGGATGCATTGGCATTTTATAATTATTCATTACATGTTTTATCTGAAGTTTGTGCATTCACCTCAGAGCTTCTAAATCCTTCTGACGCTGACGTTGGGACAACAAAGCGAGGACATTGGTATCTCATTGACAAAACATTGATGCTTTGACAGATTTGTCCCTGTGGTTTGGAAGTCTGTGGGTTGTCTTTTCAGAATGTTTTGTGAACAGGTCCGTCGTCATCTTCAGTCAGTGAGTTTGGTTTAGAACGCTCCGGGCCGAACATCACGGCCTACCAGCTTAAGTATTGTCCGGTCATTTGGGAATGAGTAAAACTGATCGAGAATCGAGCAGTATTGTACATGTACAATGACATCATCTGGAACTGATACACGTTTTAGACATTAACCATTGTGGTCTAAAACCTGAATGGTGCTGGAAAATTAAGGATCAGGAGGATTGTGGGATTCGAACCCATGATCGTACAATCTTGGCACGCCTAACTGATACAATGAATAGCGATGACCGAGTAGACTCAAATACTATCGACGTCTTTCTCTGGTTGACCGTATCACTAACATGGTGTGTGTGTGTGTGTGTGTGTGTGTGTGTGTGTGTGTGTGTGTGTGTGTGTGTGTGTGTGTGTGTGTGTGTGTGTGTGTGTGTGTGTGTGTGTGTGTGTGTGTGTGTGTGTGTGTGTGTGTGTGTGTGTGTGTGTGTGTGTGTGTATTTTGTGTGTGATAGGATGATTAAATTTTGTCAGTGAGCGACCGTCTTTCGGTATTTTGTCAGTGAGTTAGCGACCGTATTTCGGGATTTACCGTTATGTCAGAAGCATATGATCTTATTCCGTCATCCGAAATGTCTTGTTTCTCATAAAAGAGGTTAACACCTAAAAATGTCCGAAAGTATGTGTATCATATCCAAAATGCTGTTCAAAGATTTCATTTCACCAAAATTTGTATATTTAGAGAATGATTTACGGCTACATGTTAATTCAACTTCAAATCCAAATTCTGTTTAATAATCTATTTTTTCTGTCAGCCAGTAAACAGAAGCGATATAACCAACTTTCACAATCATATAAACTATGCTAAACACTCACCATCATCAGATGATCGTACCAGTTGTTCGGGAACAATAATGTCACGAAAATATGGAGAAAGGAGATGGTATGAAATGTTTCGGTGTAGTTGCCAAGACGAGCGTTTTTGCAATATAGAAACAGTATATGGTCGGCGTTAAGCTCCCCTTCTGATTCTTCAAATATGGTTACATCAGAGGGGCGGTGGGGTAGCCTAGTGGTTAAAGCGTTGGCTCGTCACGCCGAAAACCCGGGTTCGAATCCCCACATGGGTACAATGTATGAAGCCCATTTCTGGTGTCCCCCGCCGTGATGTTGCTGGAATATTGCTAAAAGCGGCGTAAAACCAAACTCAGTCAGTCAGTGGTTACATCAGTTTAATTTCAGTCGCCAGACTATGTTGTTAATCTACCACATAGTCAGTGATATGTTGACATTAATGATATCCCCGGGAGAAAACAAGTGTTAGGTTAAATCAGAACGTGTTTTACTGATATACATGTTGTTGGTTGGTTGGTTTGTTGTTTAACGCCGCACTTACCAATATTCCAGCTACACGGTCTGCAAATAATCTGGACCAGACAATCCAGTGATCAGCATCATGAACATCAATCTACGCATTTGGGATAAGATGACATGTGTCAACCAAGTCAGCGAGTCTGACCACCCGATCCCGTTAGTCGCCTCTTACGACAAGCTGAAGACCAATTCTAACCCGGATCTTCACGGGTTGATATACATGTTGTGCATGGATGTCATGTTGTGAACGTTTCTGTCGCCCTTTAATTCTCTGAATACATTTCACGAACAGTGTAAGTTCTCATTTTCCGCAAGAATCCTTCCGGCGCAGGCATAGAGCTAATATTACAGTCACGATTTCTCCAAATTGACGTCATTGTGTATCACACTGTACATTAATAGCAGAATGCACTCAGATGAAGGCGGAACAAGTCCGTCTAGACGCCCTGCTAACCAATACTCTTCCTGAAATATTTTAGCGTGTCACAACTGACATCGTTGTTTTGGACTTAACGTTGAGAACACGCAGACTTAGCCTAACTCTCTGAAAGGTCTGAAATAATGCCATAGACATGGTGTATATGTTACCTGATATATGTGCCATGTTTGTAAGTTCGCGGTTAAAATCAGCCGTGAAGATCCGTACTACATGTAGATTTCATCTTCAGCAATCTATGTTTGTCGTTAGGCGACTAACGGGATCGGGTGATCAGGCTTGCTGACTTAGGATAGGCGGATCACACAACACACACACACACACACACACACACCCCACCCACACCCTTTTGTCCTTAAGTTTATGACCATTCAAACTCTAATGAAATGGGTGAAAATGAAGTGTGTGCCCCCACACCTTCTCAAAAAGCTGTATCTGACCCTGCTTAGTTTGCACATGTCATTGTATCCCAGTTGCGAGAATCGATGCTCATGCTGTTGATCACTGGGTTGACTCGTTTATTTACAGACCGCCGCCAATTAGCTGGAATATTGCTGAGTGCTGAGTGTGGCGTAAAACTAAACTCACTCAGTCACTCACTTTAAATAAAAATTGACTTTAACTTTTTGTGAATTCATTTGATTATGACCACCCGATCCCGTTAGTCGCCTCTTACGACAAGCATGGGTTACTGAAGACCAGTTATTACCCGGGTCTTACACTTGTGAAAGTTACTTCTTATTTAAAGACTGTTTAATGCGACAACCAACGTTACTCAATTATATGAATAGTATTTGTTGATATAATCCATTTTGCTGATAACTATTCACAAAATATTGTTTATTTGAAAGAAGGAGTATTCACATCAATGGAAATATAATAATTCATGTAATATATGCATTAAGTACAGAAAGGTGCCTGTCTCCATTAACTGGACACATTTGTTTGGTACAATAACGTCTTCCAATCTGTTTCGTTTGAAGATGATACGTTTTATCAAAGATCAGTTCTCCCATTACTCTCCTGACCTTTCTTCAAGTA